AAATTAAGAGATAAAAGACATTAGAATTGCATCATAAAGTGAAATAATGACCCAAAGCATAATAAATAACAGTAGGAAAACATGATGCAATTGAACATATCAATCGCCGATGTAATAAGAAATGTTTCGTTGTTGAGGGTCTGATGAACCACAAGTATAGGGGATCTATCATAGCCTTTTCGATAAGTAAGAGTGTCAAACCCAACGAGGAGCAGAAGGAATTGACAAGTAGTTTTCAGCAAGTTGCCATTGTAAATGTTGTAAATATAGTTTGATAGCAAGATAATTTGTGACAATATAAATAGTAACAAAAGTAGTAGAGTGCAGCAAGTGGCCCAATCCTTATGTACGCTAAGGACAAGCTGATGGTGTTTCTTATAATAACTAAAATGCTCCTGAGGACACATGGCAATCTCATCAAGTTACTTTCCCCATGATTCATTAAGTTACTGTTCATAATTCAATACGTGTTGTGTGGGTGGACCGGAGTTAAAGTATTGTCCTTACTGAACAAACACTTGCTTATGATTGCACCCTCCATGCAAGCATCCACAAATATAAGAGAAGTAACTAAAATAAATCTGGCCATATCATTAAACAATAGGATCCAAAACAGCCCCTCACGGAATAATTCATAAACCGGGGTTTGAATTTCTCTCACTCTCGTAACCATCATCTAAAAATAAATCCCATAGTGTCTTCCCTAGGTCCAAAGATGGTGAAGTGTCATGTGGTCGACGTTCACATAACAACACTAGAGGAAGAACATCACAACATATCATCAAAATATTAAACGGTAGTAACTTCACATGATTACTAGCAACAAGACTTCTCTCATGTCCTCAAGAACTAATGGATCTACTCACAGTACATCATATGGATCATGATCAACGGGTATAAATATATAATGAGCAATCTAAACACAACAATCTCTCGCTGATAAATCTCCTATGCATCAACTACAAGATGTAATCAGCACATACAAGTACTCTTAGTTACCAATCTGAGGTTTGATGCAAATATTGAACTAAAGGGATGAATTAGGGTTTGAAGATGAGATGATGCTGGTGAAGATGTTGATGAAGATGATGATCTCGATGTTGAACAGAGTGTTGGTGATGACGATGGCTCTGCTGCCAGAGAGCAAAAGTGCTTCCAAGCGAAAAGTCCCGAGGAATCTTTGTGATATTTTCTAGGTGTATATGAGATTTTATGGCCAAAGGGCGTCGGGAGGGGGGCCATCAGGGTCTCACACGTCCAGGTGGCACCCTGGTGGGTCGCCTCTGGCCCATATTCTAGCACCTGGCTTTATATTTTCTTCAAATAATTCAGTAAAATTTCTGATGTTTTTGGAGCTCCGGAAAATAGCCTTTTCTTGTGTTGTATTGTTTATCCAAATTTCCAAAGTACAACAATCCCCCCTCTTTGTTTATCTTGCATTTTAACAGAGAAAAGACATTTGAATTGCATCATAATGTGAAATATATCACTGAAATAGGTCATATAGTAAAAATAGTGATGCAAAATGGACGTATCAGGGTCGATCCCCTCCCCCAAATTCTGAAAAATCCTCACTAAATCACAAATGTTGCACATTTGGTCAAAAAATTTCCATGACAACCTCACATTCAATTGAATAAAAACCAAATACAGAGTATATGATGCCATTTTTTACTCCATCGTTGTTGTTGATCTGTCATATGAGTGGAAGCCACCCTTGTTTCGCCCGCCACTGGGAGGAAAGTAGGAGGGAAGGTAGCGGCAGGGCCCTTGCCAGTCTTCTTCTTTGGGCCCTTCACTGAGGGCCGTGACCTCCAGCGAAAGCACATGCACCTCTGTGTCAGACTCTTCGCTGACATGGTGGAGGTCGGTCGCCGGAGATGTCAGAGGCACATGAGCCATGGGAGGTGCAATGACCGTTGAAGTCGCCGGATTCGGCTGCAATCAGATAGATTCAGGCGTGGGGGTCGAGACAGACTTCATAGCGTCGTCGGCGGGGACTGGGGGATGAATGGAAGCGAACAAAGTTGGGCGAGGAAGGGAGACATCGGCGGGGATGGGAGAAGGGCAACGGGAAGGGGAATTTCTTTCATGGCACACCATTTTCTCGATGGAATGTGCTTCAAATATCACCTACATACGCCAAATATGGAGGCACACAAGCTTGATTTGGAGCCCTCTCCATAAATTAGGACGATCGAGAATGGGATGCCAACTCTATAGAGTGGCATTTTCAACTAAAATCACCATAATAACGGTTATTATGACGATCAAACCGATATAACGACTCTGCAAGAGTTGCTCTTAGAGCAACTCCAACGGGGAGACACATTTCATCCGCCGCTGTCCGTTTGGGTCGGCGCGGACACAAAAGGCGGCCCAACGCGCCGACCCAAACGGACGCGCGTCCGTTTTTTGTCCGCGGGCGACCCATTCCCGGTCCATTTTTAAGCCAGATTTGCATCAGCGCAGACACGCGACGGACGCACGCACGCTCGCCTTCTCCTCCCCCGGGCCCGCTGGCCGGTGGCACACTGGCCTCCCCCATCCAATAGCAACCCTCTCCCGCTTCTTTCGTTGCCGACGCCGCCGACCATTTTTGTCGGCGACTCTGCCAGCTGTCGGCCCCTCCACATCCGCCTAGCAACGCCGCCCACTCCCACGTCGCCCGCCACCGCCGGCTTGTCCCCGGGGAGCCGACTGCTCCCACCCCCACGCCCCTAGCCGCCCCCGACCAAGAAGTCACCTCACCACACGGCTAGATCCTCACTGGCACGCTCGTCGGATGCCAGCCCACTCGTCGGACGCCGGCAGGGCAACTAGCTGGTCCGTGCGCGCAACGACTCCCTTCGCCGGCCGTCTCCTTTGTCGACGCCTGCAAGTTATTCGACAGTTTACCAAGGTACAAAATGGACTCTGCCGACGAGTTCTTTTTTCACAATTTCCTTTGCGACTCCGACGATTCATCGTCCGATGATGAGGAGGAGATATTGGCTACCGTGTTGGTCCATCACCACCTCAACAGCCAACGACTATTGTTTCGTGGCTCCATTCTGGGCCACCTTCCGACGTTGAATCGCAATCGAGAGAGCGGACATTTCCTTCTTTGGAAAGACTATTTTGATACAACAAATTTGTTGTTCAAACATCAAAAATTCCACCGCCGTTTCTGTATGAGTAGGCATCTTTTCAACCGTATTAGAGAGGGGGTGGTCGGTTATGATGACTATTTCAAGTGCAAAGAGGATGCCGTTGGCAAGATTGGTTTTTCCTCCTATCATAAATGCATTGCCGCCAACCGAATGATTGCATACGGAGTGCCCGGTGATCTTATTGACGAGTACGTCCGTATGAGCGAGTCTACTTGCCTAGAGTCCCTGTATAAGTTCTGCAAGGCTATTATTGTTGTGTTTGGCCCTGAGTACTTGAGAGAGCCGACTGCTAAAGATACAACCTGTTTGTTGGCGATGAATGCTAGCATGGGCTTCCCAGGGATGCTTGGTAGCATAGACTGCATGCATTGGGAGTGGAAGAACTGTCCTTCTGCTTGGCAAGAGCAGTATAAGGGCCATGTCAGGGCTTGCACTGTCATACTAGAGGCCGTGGCGTCTCAAGATCTCTGGATCTGTCACTCTTTCTTTGGCATGGCCGGATCACACAATGATATCAGCGTGCTTCAGCGCTCGCCGATGTTTGCTAGGCTTGCCGAAGGCAACAACTCACCAGTGAACTTTACTGTCAACGGCCACAACTACGACAAATGATACTACCTGGGTGACGGTATCTATCCTTAGTGGACCACTATTGTCAAGACAATATCCAACCATGTCGGAGAGAAGAGGAAAAGATTTTCCCAAGAGCAAGAGAGTGCTAGGAAGGATGTCGAGCGTGCCTTTGGTGTTTTGCAATCTCGATGGGGCATCTTTCAGTATCCTGCTAATATCTGGAGCACGCAGAAACTATGGGAAGTGATGACTGCTTGTGTGATCATGCATAATATGATCGTAGAAGATGAGCGCCCGGAACGTCTGTACGATCAAGTGTTTCAGTTTCAGGGTGAGAATGTTGTGCCTGAGTATGAAGGAGCGACAACGTTTGAACAGTTCATCCAATTTCATCAAGACATGCGTGATTGGGATACTCACGTGCAACTGCAAAATGATTTGATTGAGCATATGTGGCTCATGTTGGTAACCAATAGATGTATCTTCTTTTATTAATTTGCAAAAGTATGTGAGAACTATGTGGGACATTTTTATTTTTATTCGGCTTGTAATAACTATGCTATTTTATTCGGTTCAAACTATGTTATTTGATTCAAACTATGCAAATTCATG